GAATTTTTCACTCATATGGAGACGCCACCACTTGCCGGTGGAGAGCTGCAAATTTTGTCCTATACTCGGCACTTACGGCCATTGAGCAGTGACTGCGACACGGGACCTCGGTTTATACGGTCTCATCCGAAGGACCGGTCTCCACGTCCCACAGTGGAATTCGAACCCGCGACGTAAGGACCAACTCCTTACTTCGCGACTCTTTAATAGAAGATGAAAGATAATATAAGCAATTTTGATATTTTTTATAAGTCTGTTCTTTAAGACAATGTTTCCTGTAAACGATATACATGTCATTCTTGTTAAGAATTCGGATTTTTATATATTACACGTCAAAACATGTGTTGTTTATATCTTTAACAGGAATTATTTTTTTTTTAAATATATCGAGTAAAACACCGTGATGATAATGAAAGAATATAATAAGAGGTAAAAATTTCAAAACTTTACGAAAAAATATTTTATCAACTTCATGTCAAGTTTAAGGAATTTGTTGTCCAGAATTTTGAAACGACATCCAACATGGCACACATGCTTCTTGTTACAAGAGTGCCAACTGTTGTTTTCTAATTATAAAAAATCGGAAATAAATTACTTATGTGCATCAAGCTCTCTGTAAATATGGATTCAGATACAGAAATTCCTTTACTTTACGTTTATGTAATTTCAAACGTTATGTATGATAATCGATGTCCGTATTTTCAGCTGACCTGGGGAGTTATTGATGGCAGTTACCCAGAGATGAGAAATTTTCAAAAATCAACAGATGATTCCGAGATATCTTTTACCTGTTCAGGGTGGTGTTCTACATGTGGACCAAAACCAGGGCCCGTTGTATTTCAAGTATCAAACGAATTCAGTGAGCCATTTTTCGTATATCAATATTTATGTAAACTGTATACAGGGAAAATTTTGACCTCGTTTTATTTTCGCCCCTTTCGCCCTACTCTTAGGTGGGCGAATTTAAAACGGAGCGAAATCAAAGAACACAGTTTAATTTCTTAAACACTGTCTGGACGAATTTAAAATGGCACAAAATTGTTTGCAAGTTTGAAAGGTCGAAAATAACCCTGTATTCAGCATACAAATTATATTGAAGTCTTTAGCTTAAGCATGTTAAGTATGGAATTCAATCTATGTCGTTATATAGTTATCATACAAGATTACCGAAGAATTCATGTGGATATTTGATTTTTTTTTTTTTAATTCATTGGTCAGAGCGATTTATAATAACTGTTTTTTATTCTTTTTTTTCAGTATCAGCTGCGGATGCACAAGCATTGATCTGCCATAACTAACCTATCTCTCTATATCTAAAATCAGTTTAATCTCAAAGTAACGTATTTAATATAGAAAAGTCTATTAATTTTAATGCTTTTCCTACATTTCATTTAAAAATTTACAAATATTTTTAACTTTTCATGTTAAACTTACACCTATTATAGCTTTTTGAAATAAATATAAACAGAATGTTTGATCTTGTTCCCTCGCCGATGAAGTCTGCACCATTCATTCTTTTTCGAGGCAAGTTTTACATGCAAATGGAATTTAATTTTATTTTTACACAATTATTTCATTTAAATTCTTACCTTCCTGGTTTTGTAGCATTAGAGGGGCCTAGACACATGTACACTTCCATTGTCGTTTCAGTTACAATTTTGATTTTATCCATTTATTTTCGAGATAACTGTAGGTAAATGATTTGAAAACTTAAGCCTTAATTTTCAATGACAACGGCATTTTTTACAACCTTACACCAAATTCCTGTGTTTGTAAACATGGGCTTTAGGACACGCAACGTACCTTACCCACTGATAATTTTTCAAGATATTCTTAATTTAAGATTATAGTGCCATCAGATGTTCTTAGACAAAATATCAGCATGCATTACCAGGGAATTTGAAAAGATATCAATTGATGAAAATTCTTGTATAATTCAAAGAAAATATACAAAAATTACGAAACATATATTCTAGATGTTTTGTTTCTCCAAACTTGTTTTAGAAGAAGTGTACAACAGCATATATAGATATTAAAATGTAGCACACAGTTCCTTTAAGTATTGGAACTCTTCAACTCCAGTGAAAAAGGCAATAAAGTTAAAAACTACGTTGCGTATGTCCTTAAGCTCGGTTACTTACATTTGCTGTTATTGCTATTATTTACGTTTTATCAGGTGTATTCGATTTATTACTACTACACTCATCATTAAATATGAACTGAAAGAGTTGGTTTGTTGGTTTTGCTTTCCTACATTTTTATTCAAACTTAAACATTCTCATTGTACACACAAGCACTCTGAAATAGATACATGTATTAAAAAGATACTTGAGTTTCTGATTGACAATATCTTTGTAGTTTTTTTTGGAGATCTGGTCTTCCAACAGTCTGTAGAAATTTCCATAGGTACATGTACCAATTGCGCCCCGTTATTAGCAGACCTATTTTTGTATTCATGTGTAGCAGAATTTATTCAAAACCATACATGAGAAGAGGACACGTGCTGTGACCTTCAACTCGACATTTAGATATTTCGACGACGTATTATCAATTAACAATAGTTACTTCCATTCGTATGTCCACTCAATATACCCCAGTGAACTTGAATAAAAGATACCAGTGTCTGACACATCTTATTTTACTAGAAAAAGACGCTAATAGTAACCTAACAACAAAACTTGATGCTAAACGTGATGACTTCAATTTTTCAATCGTCAACTTTATTAATTTATGTTGCAATACACCCTTATCACCTGCATATGAGGCTTATATCTCCCAGTTGATTCGATACGCAAGAGCATGCTCCACGTACCAACAATTTCTAAAACGAGGCAAGCCATTGACAAACAAGTTGATGAAGCAAGGATATCAACAGTCTCTTCTAAAGTCATCATTTCGCAAGTTTTATGGTCGATACAATGACCTTGTCAGTAAATACAATCTATCATTAAGTCAAATGCTGACTAACGTTTTTCATACTAATTGTCGGGCCATTATTTAAACACCGAATTGTCTGCGGATTATTCCAATTGCTCGCTCATAACAATGAGCACATGGCGGGTGTGACTGGAAGACAGGAGAGGCTTAGTCCTCTACGGCACCTGATCCCACCTCATTTGTTTTTTAGAGGTCCGTGTTTGCTCTGCTCCCGATTTGTAATGCTTCAATTGACTTTTGAGATTGATTATTGTTTGTTATCTCCATTTCGTTGATTATATGAACTGCATCTTTGATGTCGGAAATTTTTGTGGCAAAATTGTAATCAACAATTTCAATGACAGGAAAAAATTACATTTATAAACTTCTATTCTTCATATTTGCGATGGAAGAACTACTTAGAAGTTTTGATTGAAGCAAAATTACATTATTGTCGTCCTCTACGATATTGATTTCATAATACTTTACACTCCATTGTCCAGAAACCTTTTTTCTGAAAAAAAAAAAATTAATACTTTATTTTAGTCTAATTGATCATAAAGGTTTTAATTATATACAAATTTATCATAACAGCACATTTTAACAGCAAAATAAAATTCTTAAAAATGCAGCTCATATTGCTTTAATATATTTTATTATAACACCATATATTTCTTACTTTTCTTAAAGGTCAAGTACGGTAAAAATTAGGGATGTCAATTTTGTGAATAATTCATATTCGAATATTCAATGAAAGTATTCGAATATATTCGAATATTCGATAAAATAAATAAAATCTGGTATATTTTGAATGCATCATCCTACTCTCATGAAAGGTTTAGTGTAGGTATTCTTATATTTTAAAATAAAATTGTATGAAAACTTTTGTAGGTGTACAATAAGGGATTCCATTTGGTACTTGTCAATGTTTGAAATAAATAAGTGATTTAATTGTAGAAAAGTATAATTTTAACAAATGATACATGTGTATTTATAGTAGCTCCAAATGAGGAACCAGTCGTCTTACCTAAGGCAAGATAGTCGTAAACTGTTCAGATTTCAATACGTGTAATTAATTACACTTATCAGCCTAATAAGAGATATGATTATAATCTTCGATACAATGTTTTAAAAATATAAACAAACAATTCCATAGACAATTTTCCTAGGTAATTGACTAATTTCCCGATAATGAATATAAAATTCAGGATTATGTACAACCTGAGATAATCAAGTAATTTACTCATTTATTCTAAAATTGAGCCCTTTACAATATTAATTACAGACTAATTCTATCGGATATTTATTTGAATGATCAATTAAATTTGTTTTGATAAGTATACTGTTCACGTCTTGTAGACATTCTAAGAAGGTTTTCATTTCGTTGTCCTCGATTCTAGATTCGATCGTATTTAACTAATAAAAACTATGAAAAACTATGAAAGTACGTTTTGTATTATACATAAAGCATTATTGTATAAATCTTAAACAAAATAATATAGTAGATCTATATAAGATAAGAAAATAGCGAAAGAAATCGGGCGATCGAAATTGATCGCTAGTAGATTAAATAGGGATAATTTCAGCACTGTTCCAATCAAAATTTATTAATCACAGTACTTTTTTTATGAAACCTGAAAAACACCGAATATTCGAATCTTAAATTCATATTCGAATATCAACTTATCGAATGAATATTCGAATGTTCGAATATTCGTTGACATCCCTAGTAAAATAGATTTTAAAATCCTGTTTACCATTCATTAAAAACAAATATAGAAAAATTATAGTTGTGTTTGTTTTTTAACCAGGTATAGACACAAAATACCTGTTCAAATATCGTTATTTATAGACATGAGTGACCGAGATATCGCCCCTGGATATGACGTCATCAAAGGCAATGACACTAAATATTTACGTAGATTTATAATACCAGATAAGTCATTAAATGGCGAATTCGGCGAAACCGTGGATAGTGACGGTGAAATTCCAGGGATTGACCTAAGTCTGAAAATTCACCCTTATATCTTTGAGCCTGTTACCAATATCATCGGATTCCGAGTCGGAATCAGAGGGTAGCGAACATGACTCTGACCAGTCAGGAAATTCTTCACAGGGCAAGTCCACAGAAAATTGGTAATTTTATACAACAGATCGAACAAAAGGAAAAAAAACACCAGACGCATGTATTAAGAATACATAAACATACATGTACGTAAAATAAAACTGTAGGCTTGAAAATGCACGTATTTGTACCCCTATGAAGTTCATGCTATATGACTGTCAACAGTTGTGAGATATTTCATAAAAAATTCAATTAATAATCTTTAATTCATTTAAATGCATGACATTTACCATTGAAAATTGATAATTATGTGAGGACAGAGACGGATCCAGCAGGTTTCCAGACACAGGATAAAATTTGATACGTGAAAGTATAAGGATGTACAACAAACATCAACTTATCTGTCATTAGTCTGCCTTTGTTTAAAACATGATCGTACTTAGAGCATACAGAATAAATTGGGAGAGGTAAAAACTATATGCAGGTGATAGCAGAATATTACTACATAAATTAGGAAAGTTGACGATGGAATCCCCTCGTTTGTCATACAGTTTGGTTGTTAGTTGGCCATTATCGTCTATATGATCAGATGACTGTCAAGGAAAGTGGCCTCTTGTTAAAAGATTTCATCGGGAAAAAATCATTTGCAAGTTATGGGAAATATGGGAGGACACTATGGAGTTAGTACTCAAAGCTTTAGAAGACAGGTGTATTTTCATTTAGATTGCAAAATTTAAACATATAATTATTCAAATTTTTGTGCCAGACATCCCTCCAAATATATATATATATATATATATATATATATATATATATATATATATATATATATATATATATATATATATATATAACTTAATTATTACATGTATACATTGTGGAAATAAAAAATAAATATCTGAGGCGGAATGCCACAGTTAACACAAACTACATATGGAACAATTACTCTTCAGGGAAAACCCAAGGAAAGCCTGTAGTTTGTACCATCTAGTGTGAACAAAAGCGCCGCTCATTTTTTGACGTCTCTATATGAGTGAAAAATTCTCGAATTGGACGTAAAACAATATACAATCAATCAATCATTAAAGAGTGCTTCCATTGCTTCTAATACACCTACAATACTAAAGAATAAGAAAAAAAAAAAAGATTTATACAAAATCTAATCCAATTCCTACTTTATAACCAAAATTTAGTCCTATACATACCACTATGGAAGGTACCCTTATTTATTGATTCAACTATCTTCAGTATAAATATCTGTTCTTGATTTCCTTGCAAGCAAAGCTTATAGCTAGGAGATGGGACGAACTCTGGCATCACTTTGTATACTCTTTGTATTGTATCTTTATTTGATTAAATCAGATGGAAAAACAAGTAAGTTAAAATATATTAATGATTACACGAATAAAAAACTTAGATAAAAGAAAAAAGGACATAACCCATTTTTAACAAGTATTAGTACAATAATCTATTTTAGACGAAATGTACCTTCGGCAGATAAAAAAAACAATAGATCGTGATGAGACAAAGTTTTCGGTTTGGTCTGGAACCTCTTCTAGCCTAGCTGACTGTAGTGTTATGTGTTTGCACAAAAGTAACTGTGTTTCTTTACTGTACGATTTTACTGAGGCGTCCTGTAAGCTTTTTGACGTGATTTACAATGCTGATGGGAGTGTGGGTGCTGAAGATGTCGTGTACTATACTCTGGAAAGCAGCAACAACCGTCGGGGTATGTTAAACCTAAGAAGCTATATTTTTTTAATTGTAAGCTAATATCATTAATACTGCATGAAGTTGTGAGTAACATTGAAAATTCTCACCCCAAGAAAACCAATGTCAAACTCGGCTGCACCTCGGTTGACAATGGGTTTTTTTTTGGGGGGGGGGGGGATTTTCAATGTTACCCTCAGCTACATCCAATAGTTATATAATATGCTGTGGATATTTGATTAAATTAAACTTTCATATAAATTACTTTAATTTGATTCGTCAAGAAACATTTGTTAAAAAACAGTTACCCTTTGAATGATGAAACTACACTTTCCAGTGCGATAGAACTTAGCAACAGTGAGTTAACATTGATTGACAACGGGTGGATTCCAAATGTTGACTACGCGGAATCTATGCGCTTGCGGTTCGAATAAAACATATACATAAAAAATCGTATAAAAATATTATAATAAATACTGCATGTTCTTGAGGGTTACATTAAAAATTTTCACCGCAGCCTCGGTTGACAATTGTTTCAATGGGCTCATTTTCACAATCATTTGAGAATATAAAAATATTTGACATCTTTTTTATGTCTTCACTCTTTAAAAAAATACTTCCATAATCAGTTGTAGAAAATACGTGGTTTACAATCGAAAGATAATCAAATTGACCAAGCTTAAATGACAAACGTAAAATTACTCCATTGCATTTATTTCTTTATCGTGGTATTTGGCATAATTGAAAAGCGGATAACAATTTGTGTGCTCACCTGAAAATGAACTGAAGGCAGTCTGAATGAAACATAAATTTCACTCTTATAATAGAAAACGATAAAATGTCAATTTGGATAAGGCCTAGATAAGTATTCATTTTATTTACATGTAGAAGAAGCGATAAAATGTCCATTTGGATAAGATGGCTCTATAAAATGATTGACGGTCGATTAAGGAATTGGAGAGTATTGTTTACAATCAAGTTAATCTCAATATATTTCTGGTAATTTCAAATCTTCAGAAATTAACTGCGACGAGGCCTTTTATAGCATTTATGATCATATGAAGTTTGCTTAAACGTAGATCCTAAAGAACAAGAGAAAATATGGTAAAAGCATCAACTTTATTTTTCTTTACATACCAAGTCTTTCAAATTCTTTGCATTTGTCATTCACAGATATACAAATTAGAATTTAGAATACTGAGGTTATTGCTAAGGGGCAAAAAATTATACCAGATACCGAGTATGAAAAAATGTGATGTCATTCATGTCACTGAATGTCAAACACTGTAGGAACATATAATTATCATAAAAGGTGAAACTTAACTCTTAGTAGAATGTAAAAATGATGACATGACGTCTTTATAAGAAGACATCATCATAGCAAAGACTTGTTAGCACCACAATTGTCCAAAATTACATATGACGTTTATGGAGCAGAAGGGATCGATTCATAAACCCTCAGCTCACTCATATAAAATGTTTCTTTAACTCTTATGATTCTCCCAAAGGAATTATTTGTTAAGTAGAATACAAACAATTATAGTATAGCTTGCGGGGCAAAATTGGACAAAAAAGACACTTAAACTTGACAAATTTATAAAGGAATAATAGACATACCATTAAGGGTTATCTCTCTTATCAGTGTATCGATGAACCTTAATTACACGGATCCTCCATTACCTACTATTCCATTAAAATCCTTGCAAAACTTCTTGTTATGATAAGATTTAATTAAAAGAAAAACCAACAAACGAGTACAAGTATACAGTATTTTAAAATCGTTTTTCCAACCTAGCTTGTCGGTGTAATCTACAAAACATAGCTTGAATATGTACATGTACATTTAAGCTTTGTTTACATACATGTATGTAACATTTTTTTTTGTTTACATATGTAACACTTGATTTCCAAAGACACAATATTACGGGAATTTTTTTTCCTTCCTTTTGATATCCTTTATTCGGCGCTTATTTTTTTTTTTCTTTAATTTGCAGTTCCCGAGTCTTGCCAAGATCTCGTTATTTTTTCGGGAGCAAAGACGGATGGGGAATACTGGATATATCCCAAAGCAACAAACGGACAAAGAATCAAGATCTATTGCCACGATATGCAATTCATTCCATCTGAATACATCACTTTGAGGAACACAAACTATTTTATTCAACACGATCAATCGAACTGGCAACTGAAGTATATACAATGTCAATCGACAATCAAACCACCCTTAAAAACGGTCCATTTTTCAAAAGTCAAAATAAACATCCAGGTATACGTAGGCCCTACGAGTACATATGTATAAATTTGCGTGTAAGCAAAAGCAAGATCCCAGATGGAAAATATTTTTAGTATTCCAAATATGGCACAGAAATCCTTTTTTTTGTCTGCCGTTGTTTCTTATTAAACTCTCCTATTTATGCATGAAGATAACTGTTTGAATAAACAAAGGACTATTTAATCAACAGGTTTATATATTATAAACTCTGTATAAATAAGTTTCCTGAGTCTGGCATTAGAGACATTTACTACTAAATTACATTGAAAATTATTTCAAAATTCAATGATTTTAGAGTCAATGCATATAACAATACCTTAATTTATATTCAGAATATGGAAATCGATGGGAATGATTATCAATTCACCTCTTTGACTGGTTCTCCCACGGTCGAATATGGACAAAGCACCGACTGCAATGGCGAATCTTTTCGGAACCCCTGTCCACGTTTCTCGGAAGCTGTAATTGACACAAGAGGAACAGGGTTGATTGTAGATCCTACTGTAAGTTTTACTTTCAATTTCTATTTTAGTTAATATGTTGACGGTGCGACCGTTGGGGCGAGCGCATTGTTCACTTCATTTTAAGATCCGCCTCTTCAAACCGCACGAGATATTTGGAACGTCTAGACTGTGACGTCACATGACGTCGTATGTTAGCTGCATTTCCATAAACAAAGTTTAAAAAGTGCAAATATTTTAACAAAGAACGTTTAATCTACTATCTGCATGCAATAGCCATTAATTAAGGTGAGTTTATTTTTTGTGAAATTTAGTTGTTGTCACCGCGTGAACGAAGTTAGCAGCGAGAACAAGAAGCGATGCATTGTGGGTCAGAATTACTGCGGAAAAAAATTCTATTGAATGAATGTGCAGTAGTCCGAATTTTCTCTTCGCCCAGGCGTTGTCGTTAGAGCTCGCAGTGACGAGCGGCGCTTAGCGCCGCTCGCTACGCTCGCTATTAATCAATGTTGAGAAATAAAAAAGGTGTTATGTTTGTTTTGAAATGTACATTTAGTGAACTATTATGTTTGGGGAAATCGTTTATAAAAACATACGTATGTATAATACATGTGCATAGTGTTTATCAATGTATCCGTAGATGATATTTTAACGTAAATGTATCCATAGATAACATATAAATTAATTTGTCCACAGATATCAGGTTAATTAATGCATCCACAAAGGCATATGATGTCAATAAATCTGTCCACACATAACATGTCAAGTAATGTGCCTTCAAATATCATGTCCACTAATTTATCCAAATACCGGTATATCACGTTCATGAATGTATCCGTAAATATGTCATGTTAAGTTATACATTTACATTCTACATGTATTTTGTTTATAAAGTATATGGAAAGCTTTGGCATTCAAAACACCATTACACGGACGAGGTGTTCAAAGTTTTATGATTTTTATTTTGTTTTATTTATTTTGACGTCACAAAAGCAAAACGCCATTCAAGTGCAACATTGTGAGCGAAAATCAAAATTCACGCTCACATTGAAGAGTGTAACGGTAGTAGCTGTTGGAATGACTCTTCCATTATTATAATTTATCCAAATGATAATACAGGGATTTTGAAATAGAAATCATATTTGCAGGCAAGGCATGAGTTTAAAAAATTAAATAAAAGCATTGAATTATTATTTTTTGTAGTCTCATAACTGCGTCAGAGTGGTCGCCCGCGTGGCGCAGTGGTTACAACTTTTGCTCTAGAGTCGCAAAGTAAGGAGTTTATCTTTTACGTCGCGGGGTTCGAATCCCATTGTGGGATGTGGAGACCGGTCCTTTGGATGAGAGCGTATAAACCGAGGTCCCGTGTCGCAGCAGGTGCTGGCACGAAAAAGATCCCTCACTGCTCAACGGCCCTACATGAGTGCCGAGTATAGGTCTAAATTTGCAGCCCTTCACTGGCAATATGAGTGAAACATTCTCGAAAGGAACGTTAAACAGACAAAAAAACAGAGGAGGAAAACATATTTCTTGCATACACCATTGCAGTTATGAGACTACATATTTCCAAAAAAAAAAAAAAAAAAATCAATGTTATAAAAGTATCCACAGATGTCATGTGTATTCATGTGTCCACAGATACCGCGTAAATTAAACCATTTAAGGCATATACACAGATATAATTAAATTGATGTATCCACAGAAATCATTTTAATGAATCAATCTATAGTTAACCTATTGTAACCGAGCAGAAGAACAACGCAGCTAGGTTCACGTTGATTTCTTTATTTTAACAGCAAACAAATAACGGCAATGACAATTCAGTCATTCTACGATAAATGGACCAATTCAGAGTAAAAAACATGAAAAAAAATAATTGTTTCAAATAGCAAAATGAACATCATAATTCTCTAAAGGACATATCAGTGAACTTGAAAACAAGGAATTGTCCACAAATCTGGTATCTAACTTTTTACAACACAATTTCAAGATACCATTGATTTTAAGGTAATGTTACGGAAGTTAATGCTTGATCAAGCCATTATATTTTAAATAATTAGCTGAATATGACCAATTTTTCGTTTCTGATGTTCAGTAAAGAACGCTAAAGTATGATTCATGAAGTTTCGCATGAATCCGAATTTAAATTAAATTTTCGGGGAAAATATTGTTACGGAATTTTAATCGTTACGGAAGTTAATTCCCAGCAATAAAAGTTAAAATTCTCTTCAATAGTTAAAATCAAAGTTTGTTTTAGGATATTAAACAAAAGTATGAAGCACTTCGCTCCCAAAATAATAAAAGAAATTATACCTTTAATGCAAAAACTTTCCTGAATTACCGTTACGGAAGTTAAATTTTTAAGAGAGACAACTGTTTTTGTCTAATTCATTTTGTTATGTCGAAAATGTTATCGTCTAAAAAAGTTAACTCGCAACTAGAATCGATGATATAAGGTTCCGTGGTCACTTTCAGATAGGTTTCAGTTCTTTTTGAAATCTGCATTCTATGCGTGAAATTTAAAACAAAGTCGTTACGGAAGTTAATCGATTTTAAGCGACATGCTTATGAATTCGCATGAAAGGAGATCCATGCATTCCTTTGCGAGAAGTGGTTTGATTTCTTTTTATATAGGATAAAAGACATTTTTTAACATTCATTGCAATCTATTCGGAACGATTTTACGACTGAAAATTTCATCTTGAAATTTGTAAATAAATGAAGCGACATTACGATTTGCAGTGGAATACGTTTTTCAACATTACGTTCATATCAAAACTTGAACTGCATATATATCGGAGAATATTTACAAAACCATGTGTATATGTTAAGTCTTATAGTTGAAATCGACCTTTGAATTTATAGTTAAGATATTACAACGGTAAATTTGTAAGCGACATAAAAAATTCTTAACTGGTCATGTTTTTGTAGAATGACTGAATTGTGTCTAGAAAAAAATACACATATTATATATTCTACCCATTAGACAAAATATAACGTCAAATAGCTACAAAATAAATAACAACATTATAAGTTATGAAAGAGAAAAGTATTACAAAAACAAATACCCATATGGACAACACGACCACGAGGTGTGACTTTGAAATTGGCTGACGGGACAAGTAATTCTAATCGAACCTGTGTATTTATACCCAGATCTACTGTGCAACTGGATTGAGTTGATTTAAAAAATACACCAGTCAGGTATAAGATTACATAAGAGTGTTCGACAAAAGCCTTTACAAAATGTTAGAATCTCACCGACTTAATTCAAATAATCGAATAAAAAATAAGTTTACAAAAGTGAGTTCGATACTCGCCTAAATAGAATACAATGTATATTGAAATATTTGGTCACACTATTAAAGAATGTATCTACATATATCAAGTTAATTTGTTTAACCACATATATTATGTTAATTAATGTATCCACAGATAACATGTCCATAAATGTATCCACAGAATTGTTATCAAGTTAATTAATATATCCAAAGGTACCGTAATAATAAATGTGTCCACAGATAGCATCTCGTAAATTGATATATCCACAGATAACATAAATATAAATTAATGCATCTTAATGATATCATGTTTATAAATGTATCCACAGATGGCATTTAAACCAATGTATCCACAGCTAACTCATAAAATACTGTATCCACGTATCCACAGAAAACATATAAATTACATGTAATATACATGTATGCACAGATAACAATTTAAATTATTGTACCCACAGATAACATATAAATTACTGTATCCACATATAACATATAAATTAATATATCCACAGATAACATATAAATTAATTGAGAGTAATACATGGCAAAATCTGTATCACACGCCATATCAACCGGAGACTTCAATATCAGCCCGGGGGCCAAAGATGTGATACAGATTTTGTTATGTATATTTTTATTATATCTTTGAAAATAAGTGTTTAAAAATCATATATAAACTTAAAATTAATTACTGAATTTTTAATAGTTGAGTGTGTTCCGTTTGTATAATTTTTTCCCAAAGAAATGCATTCAGCGATAATTATAAATTAAATGATTATTTTGAATAACATAAATATATGATGAAATAAATTACATTTTAAATAAACTTAAATAAAATAAACAAATTAAAAAAAAAATCCGAGGAACTTCGAATGAAAAATACAGAGATGTTCCGGAAAGGTGAAATAAAGGGTGTGATAAAGGGTGAAATAAAGGATGCTGATACAGGGTGTGTATTACAGGGCACGTGCCTGTGTTCATATTAGGGATGCAAAATCCTGTATTATATAACAAATATATAATAGAATCCACGGATAACATATAAATTACTGTATCCACAGATAACATATAAATTACTGTATCCACAGATAACATATAAATAAATGTATCCACAGATAACATATAAATTAATGTATCCACAGATAACATATAAATTACAGTATCAAGAGATAACATATAAATTACTGTATCTACAGATAAGATATAAATTAATATATCCATAGATAAGTATAAATTCATGTATCCACAGATAAGATATTAATTACTGTATCCACAGATAATATATTTTATGTATCCACAGATAACATATAAATTACTGTGTCCACAGATAACTTATAAATGAATGTATCCACAGAAAATATATAAATTAATATATCCACAGATAATATATAAATGAATATATCCACAGAAAACTTATAAATGAATGTATCCACAGATAATATATAAATTAATATATCCACAGATAATATATAAATTAATGTATCCACAGATAACATGGGGTGTAATAAGTGGCTGGTGGGCGAAAATAGAAAATATTAATCGATCGACAGATGGCGCTCAGATCTCGTTTATCTGTACTGGATGGTGCGGCGAATGTGGCCCAACATCAGGACCGATCATACTACAACCATCGAAAGAATACAGTAAGATATATAGTATTTAAAAACCTTTTTAATATATTTTTTTAAACAAGTTTCTTTTCTTCAAATCTAGAAATAATTTTCATTCGATTATGTATTATAGAAATGTTTGGTCATAAATTTCTGAATTGCACGTTTTTACATAATGAATAATTCTTTCAGTTTCGGCGACAGATGCAAAAGCTTTGGTCTGTGATTTAGATAGTCCTGCTCTAATTCTTCCTGCTATAATTATTCCATAGATCATATCGTATGCATAAACAACAACTTTCGTTTTATTTTGTATGCTTGAAGTAAATAAATATTAATACACATGTGCTTTTTTGTGGAGTTCTTTATTTCTTGAGGTTAAGTTAAGCAGTCGTTTCATTTATTACAGATATTTGTTGATACACTGTAAGTATATTTTATACCCGCACTTTATCATAACTGTCATAGATGCTCATCGTGCTAAAAGAAATTTTATATTTTTAAGATATGTTCTTGTGCGAAAGTTAAGACCATCATGCGAGTTATATGTTAACATGCAAAATAAATGAATTGATGTCATCATGCACGATAATTATGTTGATATGCATCTTATCAATGTCAACATGCACGATAATATTTCGCATGTCAACATAAATATCTCGCGTGTTGAGATAATTAACTCGCATGTCAACATAATTATCTCGCATGTCAACATAATTATCTCGCATGTTAACATAATAAGTCCCATGTGTATATAATTATATCACATGATGACATTATGAAAAAAACGTGAAGATAACGAACACTGATCGATCTCAAAAAATCTATACTAAGCAATATAATTCTGTGAAGAGGGCATAAAACATAGACCCCTGAAATTCCATAGATAGTATCATGTGCCTAGGAGGAGTAAGCATCCTCTGTTGACCGGTCACACCCGCCATGAGCCCTGTTTTGATCAGGTAGACGGAACATTCCGTAGTCAAATTCAGTGTAAAAGCAAAGGCTTAACAATTGGTATGAAACAGGTAAGCCAAAATACGACCCAATGATAGGTTATATTTGCTAACAAGGTCATTATAAGGACCATAAAATTTACGAAATGCTGACTTTAAACGAGGTTGTTGAAATCCTTGTAACATCAACTTATCTGTCAGTAACCTGTCTCGGTTTGAAAAATTGATCGTACTCGGAGCATGCTCTTGAGTCTCGGATAAGATGGGAGATGTAAACACCATAAGCAGGTGATAACGGGATATTACTACATACATGTATATAAGGAAAGTTGACGATTGAAAAGTTGAAGTCATCTCATTTGTCATACAATTTAACATGTCTATATAATTATTTGCATGCCAACAAAATCATCTCGCATTTTTAATAAATTAAGTCCCATCTGTACATAATTATATCACTTGTTGACATAAATAAGTCGCATGTCAACATAATTATCTTGCATTTTGGATGTGTAATGTCAGAAACTGGCTTGTGTCCAAGTGCTATAAAGAAAATGTGTGTTCCGTTCAGTTACAATTAATGGAATTAATTACTTCTTTGATGCATATTTCAATAAATGGAAAATAGGATGTAATTCTCGACATGTACACATCCCTGTACCCTTAGCAGTATTTCAGGTAGATGAGTTTACAGCGTTCGAAGCGTTTTCTCAGAATGCATGCACGTATATCTGAATTTATTGCACATGAGTGCATAATATGTGCATATACCGTGTATCAGAATTTATTGCACATGAATACATAATATGTGCAAGTACCGTGTATCATGTAAATAGCTCTAACAGTACATACAGAGTAATTGGAAAAGATGCATGTCGTAATCTTTTCCTGTTTATTTTCGAATATTTATGAGCATCAAACTTGCATGTGCCGTTTTGATTTTTTTCTACATTGCATCTTAAATATTCAAAATTTATTATTTACTTCTTACTAGTCCTAGTTTTGGTTGAAATTTATGTCTAAAACATGTTTTAGGTCAGTTTGGTGTGTCCAAAACTTTGCTATCGGAGATGAGTACATGCCGACAGCCAGGGTCATTTATATAGCCGGTTGAACAAGATGGGTATAAGAAAGAAATGTGGTGGAAAGGGGCGTACAGGAATGTAATATGTCGTACAAGGATGAAAATAACGCATATTTAAGAGTTCAGCTTTAAACCTGGGGTCGGGAAACCCAAATCATGGTATAAATTACAAAACACCACAAAACAGTTAGAATTGTTAAATATATCTATTACTAATACTAAAACATATATTAATATTTGGTAGTGGATTCTATTTAACGCCTTTCGCGGAGAGCAACTTCCACTAAATTAAGTACAGTGTATGTTGTTAAATGTCTTGTGTATACTAGTATAAGCAAATTCAGAACGCACAAAATCAAGTATACACTAAATTGTCAAAAAAAAAAAATCTACTTCCACCAAATATCATTTTTATTTTTAAAACAAGGACATTATAACGACCGTAGAATTTGCGAAAAGCTGAGGAAATGCAAAACAAACAATTACAAAGGGAAAGTCTGAAGGAGGTATTAGTAATTAAGAGCCATTCTCTGTAATGACGAACTTTTATATAGGAGCTGTGGCACGCATAGTCTCAGAATTTCTCCAAACTCTCTATGATAAAAGTCTTTGATACCGTAAACTCAAATCAGGCAAAAATTGGTTGCTACGTGTCATGGTTACCATAGCAACATGTCCTAAAGTTTGAAAAATGGCACTTTCCAACATCTTCAGAGTCCCACAGTTAATGTTTGCAGACAAGTGGCAATGACTGTTTCTGAAAGTTGAAGGCCTGGTGTCTTAAATGCATGATAAACATGTTTGGTAAATTATCTATATCATACGTTACTATGGAAACAAAGTATTCAAAAGTAATAATTTTGTTCATTTAATTTTATAAAGTCATACACTTAAGAATAAAAACAATTATGGGTTGAAATGCAAGCAAATAATAGAGAAGAGATCCTTGTAACATATACCAAGGACAAAATATGATATTTCTTATAGGTTGGCAATGGTTGCCATGGTTTTAATACCACGAAGGGATTTTAAATTTAAACTCTTAGTGTTTTAATCTTATCCTATCTTTTTAAAAAGCATATTTCTATATAACTGATGATCAATTTTTAAAGGCCTTGGTGTGGCCCTAATTTTCATATTTCAAAAAATTCAATTTCAATTCTTTAAGTAGTGCGTTGCTATGGAAACAAGGCGAAAAAACATGCATACAAATCTGAAAAATACTCTGTTTCCTTGGATACGTACCGTTGTATGTAGATTCCCAAAACTTTAATGATTGATATATGTGAACAACTAACCTGACTTTCAATTTTGACTATCACCCAATCTCTAACTGGATGCAAAAAGCTGGCACATAAGGTCTAATATTGACAAAAAATTAACAAAATCGAACATTTTATCTTCTTGGTAACCATAGCAACAGTGTTGTATTTTTCAACAACCTTTATCAATATATGATATTCAACTTTAGTTCTACGAGATAAGTACAATTCAAGGTGATTCAAATAATATTTTTCTTGATTAAAAGGTTAGTAAATTCCTAAAGCAGCAAAAAATATCACTTTAAACAACTAGTACGTTGTTTCCATGGTTACACTGCAAAGTAACAATTAATCTCAATTTTTCTTATGTTGTCGGTGTTGCAAGGTCCTAAGGATGCATATGTGCTAGTCATGAATTTTATTGTTTTTCCTCACGATAGTAGCATTAACCCAATCATAGCAACAGATTTTGCATGGTGACACTGTGTTACCATGGCAACCATGAAAGTTATTTTTAGAATAATATTGCCAATACCTAACTACATGAGGTCAAATATTTTTCATTGTTTTTCTTACGTTGTTGATTGAGTTTGATCATGTAACATCTATCATTTGTGACTAAAGAACATTTTTCAGCATTTTTCAGCATCTAAAATGTATTCCAAATGTACCCATGGTTACCACTTAATAAGAGATAAATTCTAAATAGTTTCTTTATAGCATAAGTGGCAATAAGGTGTCATGTTTTGGGGAGAATGGTTTGTTTGTTTTTCTTAGTCTTTATTAAGGCTTAATAAAGATTTAAAGTAGCTGAAAATCTCAATTTTTTCAACTTTTCTGGCTGTTACCATGGCAACCAAGGCACATAGCAACGAAATTTTATTTGATATATGTTTCTGGTGTCAAGTTGTAATAATGGGCAAAGTTTTATCAAAATCGGTGACCATGCGTGACAAAGAAGTTTAAGTGGTTACAGAGAATCGCTATTAAATAGGGAAAGGGGGTAGAAAAAAGAAAAATACAATCAAACAATATGACTCGTCTTATTTCTGCTCTTTAATACATTTCCATCCTGGCTTCCTGGCTGCTGAAATGGCTCCATGTTGGGTTGCTTTTCGTGGGATCTTCTCCTCTTTATTCTGTCAATTAAATAGTCCAATCAATTTATCATGAAACGTCAAACCAATTGCAACACAATACCTTTTGTTATAAACTCTAGCATGCACCAAGTAAATGTAACAAAATCTAACAAAATCGGATGAAGGAAAATTATTATTTGGGGCTCATATATTTTCTGTGAAAATTACTATAGGAAAGAAGCATAACTCTTGTCAATATAAAATTTTGGTGCATTTTTCCACAGGCACTTGGGGTATGGACCCCCCCCCCCTTTCCATTTTTTTTCTTTTTAAATCTGGGGTCGAGTCATCTTTCTCCTATTTTTGTATTCTATTATGCACTGTATGTTATTAATAATGTAACTCTTTTGTCTCTATAAGCTGTTTTTAAATATATCGTTTTCGACTGATACATAAAAAGAGAGAAGAAACTGTGTATGATGACATTTATAGATGAAGTAAAACCTTCTATACCCAATTTTATATTTATTTATTTTTTAAATTTTAGGCATCCCAAGAAATCCCGTCCGATTTAGCTTTGAGCTGAACTCAATACAAGTGCTATTAACACTAATCACCGATATTCCCCTAAGAGTGATTCGAGACAATTTATGGCAGAATCTTGTAGAGGTGGATCTAAAAAAAAAAAATACTTTTACAAATATTTTCCTCGGATGTCATTGATAATTATAGCATTTATTTCCTTTAATATGCTCAATATTATTTTGCTACCACGCGTTCTTCTACCTTTTTTGCATGTGGAATTTATTTAAATTTTATTTAGAATTAATTAAATATATCTTGAAATCTAGCGATTTCTTTTTTATTATAGCCTTAAAATATTTTTAAATC